CATGTCACACCCAGCCCCCCAGTCACACCCAGCTCCCTCGAGTAACACCCACCCCACCCCAGATGCCTGGTGCTTTTCCGAGGCGTCCCCCCACACCTCAGTCACATGCAGCCCAGCAGCCAGCTCTTCTCAGTCACACCCTGCTGCCCTCTTCCATCTCCCCAGGGCTCTGTGTCACACACCACCTGCCCTCCTCTCCTCAAAGCTCCCCTCAGTTGCACTGTGCCTGCCCCTCTGCAGCTTCTCTCAGTCACACCCAGGCCCCTTCCCTCTGCTCTCCCTAAAGCTCCCTCTTTGAAAATATGCTTGTTAGGCTCAGAGCTGTTCAGTCATTGATAGGGATGTGAGCTTGTAGTTGAGTACACAGTTACACGCAGGCCTCACCCCCACTGCCTCTGATATAGAGGCGGCAGGGGATTTGTCTATTATGTTTTTATACAGAAGACTTGAAAACATCAAAGTTGTCCAGCAGTGTTGGCTGATTTACTTGGATACCATTGACAAGGTTTTCTGTTTCTTCTGCAAGCTCTTTGACTTGAATTCAAAATCATCCTTAGTAGTCGAGGGGTCTGTCAGGACTGTTTCCTCACTCTGGGCACTCCAAGTACACGTGGGGAGGGTCCTCAAGAGAACTTAAAAACCTTTTGTGACTGGGCAGAGTTGCACCACAGTGCTGCATGGGGAGCATGGAAGTGAAACAGCCATTTGTGCCGCCTGCTCCTGGGCTGTGGCTCAGCTGAGCGGTGCGGATGCTGACTGACAACAAGCACCACAGCTGGGGAGACGTCCGGGGCATGATGCACGGAAGGGGGGGGGCGGAGTCCCAGCGAGCGTGTGTCATGGATGTCGGGCAGTGGGGCGTCGGCATGGGCAGGTGCCATATTCAAGGGGGCCATGGAGGATAGAGAAGGACACGCCTGCTCGAACTAAAGGCGGCGGGGTGATGGGGGGGAGGAAGTAGGGCAGGGCTTCCTTGAAGGTGGCCTGTGGGCTGGTGAGTTACAGCTGGAAGCCCTACCAGTCGAACGGGACCATAGCGGAACCTGTCCTTAGGGCCTTGGGCGAGGGCATCCTACCTCCCCACCGTTTATTTTGTGGACAGCCCCGAGTGAGGCTGGGCCATGTAAACTGTGTGTTGCGGTGACGGAATAGGATTGCCAAATTAGTGGTGGAGGCCACTGAGAACTCGTACGGGCGGACAGCGAATAGCTGACACAGCCACCCAGATGGAGAGGAGGGATAGTCCCCCTCCTTCACACCTTGCCTCTACAGGCACTGGTTACAAAAAACTCCCCACCCACTCCAGAATCACAATACACAGATTTTGGGGGGTTGTTGCCACTATCAAGTAATTTTTATTCTTGTGTAGGGTAAAAATTTGAGGCAGGCTATGATATTCTGTTAAGAACCCCTATTCTAAATTTGGAGTCTGGAATTGGCACACTAACACAGAAGCAGACTGTGAGGGACTCCAAGAAGATCTCACCAAACTCAGTGATTGGGCAACAAAATGGCAAATGAAATTTAACGTGGATAAGTGTAAAGTAATGCACATTGGGAAAAATAACCCCAACTATACGTACGTAGTATGATGGGGGCTAATTTGACTATGACAAATCAGGAAAGATCTTGGAGTTATTGTGGACAGTTCTCTGAAAACTTCCACACAGTGTGCAGCGGCGGTCAAAAAGGCAAATAGGATGCTAGGAATTATTAGGAAAGGGCTAGAAAATAAGACCCAGAATATCTTACTGCCCCTGTATAAAACTATGGTACACCCAAATCTTGAATACTGTGTACAGATGTGGTCTCCTCACCTCAAAAAAGATATTTTGGCCTTGGAAAGGGTTCAGAAAAGGGCAACTAAAATGATTAGGGGTTTGGAACGGGTCCCACATGAAGAGAGGTTAAAGCGACTGGGGTTCAGAAAAGGGCAACTAAAATGATTAGGGGTTTGGAACGGGTCCCATATGAGGAGAGGTTAAAGCGACTGGGACTTTGCAGTTTAGAAAAGAGGAGACTGAGGGGGGATATGATAGAGGTCTATAAAATCATGAGTGGTGTGGAGAGGGCCGATAAAGAAAAGTTATTTATTAGTTCCCTAAATAGAAGAACTAGAGGACACCAAATGAAATTAATGGGTAGCAGGTTTAAAACTAATAAAAGAAAGTTCTTCTTCACACAGCGTGTAGTCAACCTGTAGAACTCCTTGCCAGAGGAGGCTGTGAAGGCTAGGACTATAATAGAGTTTAAAGAGAAGCTAGATAATTTCATGGAGGTTAGGTCCATAAAAGGCTATTAGCCAGGGATAAAATGGTGTCCTTGGCCTCTGTTTGTCAGAGGCTGGAGAGAGATGGCAGGAGACAAATCGCTTGATCGTTGTCTTCGGTCCACTCTCTCTGGGGCACCTGGTGCTGGCGACTGTTGGCAGACAGGATACTGGGCTAGAAGGACCTTTGGTCTGACCCAGTATGGCCGTTCTTATGATGGTTAACCCCTCCCCCCACCTAGCCCGTTGAAGAAAGGTAGTCATAGTGCTAATGACCCAGGATGGGAGACAGGACATGACACATTCAATGGTGCTAAGAACAAATGTAGAATAGTGATAGAAATGTAGCCGTGTTAGTCTGGTGTAGCTGAAACAGAATACAGGACTATGTAGCACTTTAAAGACTAACAAGATGGTTTATTAGATGATGAGCTTTCGTGGAAGTGGGTCTGGCCCACGAAAGCTCATCATCTAATAAACCATCTTGTTAGTCCTTAAAGTGCTACAAGAACAAATGTGTAACTGTCAAGTACTCCTAATGTCTCTGCTTTAATCCCCAGATGGACCACATCCGTTCAGACACCTTCTTGAAGCTAACAGACACATCCCCACTTGGCACATAGTTGATAATTGATGTTTGCTTTGTTTAAATACTTGTTTTACTAGCTATAAGGTATTATGTAAGTTTATATTATTGTTCTTATTTTGGGGCAAGGAATAGCTCAGTGGTTTGAACATTGGCCTCTTAAACCCAGGGTTGTGAGCTCAATCCTTGAGGGGGACATTTAGGGATCTGGGGCAAATCTGTCAGGGATGGTACTTGGTCCTGCTGTGAGGGCAGGGAACTAGAGTCAATGACTTTTCAAGGTCCCTTCCAGTTCTATGAGAGAGGTATATCTCCATATATTATATTATCTATCCAGGGGGGTTCAGGATCTCCTCCACCCAATCACTTCATCTGCCCATTGAACATCCTATATAATTAATTGTAACCTATTGGTTGGCAGTGTTCACTGAGCTTAACAGGCATATGATGTGACACTCCGCCAGCACTGTGTGTTTAATAAACTTTCCTGCTTGCTTCATACACTGGTGTCCAGATTCTGTTCCTACACCTAAAAAACAGGTGAACACTTGAACCCACCCCCAGGGGAACACCAAGCTCTTTTGCACCAAAAGAGCTTGAAAAAAGAAAAGGGAAAAGCAAGCTGCAGTCTCTGGTAGCTGATCTCTCAGTCTGAGGCATGCAGACACACAGGCAGACCTTCAGTACCTTTCAGGACACAGAAGCAAATCCTTGCATGGTGACAAGTATTGGAGGGATAGCTGTGTTAGTCTGAATCTGCACAAACAACAAGAAGTCCTGTGGCACCTTTTAGACTAAGAGAGTTATTGGAGCATAAGCTTTTGTCGGCAAAGACTCACTTCATCAGATGCATGTATCTGACGAAGTGGGTCTTTGCCCATGAAAGCTTACGCTCCAATAAATCTGTTAGTCTAGAAGGTGCCACAGGACTTCTAGTTGTTTATGAGAAATCAAATCATCACCTTAAAGTGATTTTTATTACAAAACAAAAGATAAACTTGAGAAAGCATACTTGGTTGCTAGATGTTACAGAGCAACTAAAGGAAACATTAAAACACAGAGAAAAATCTCTGGGAACAATTCTAGATGGTAAATGGGGAGGGGAGGCATAGATCCACACACAGCAGTTCAAACCAAACCCCAAAATAAAGAAAAATTACCCTGAATGTGACTAGATTCACTTTTTTCCCCTTACTTCCAATCTTCTCTTTGTTCAGTCCACTTCCATGCCCCGAATTCCTTGGAGGCATGGTAGTCCTGCCTGGGTTTAAATCATTCTGTATGTCTGAACTCTTGGTTTAACTCTGCCTGCTTTCTTTGTGTGGGAAAGATCTTATACAATTCAAAGTTCAGCCTTCTATCTCGATGGGTTCTTTTGGCCCCCTCACTTGCTCGCTACCTGAGTTTAACTCTTTAGTCTTTGGGTGCTGGTCAGCACTCCTCCTCTATCCATTACAGGGTCGAATGATTGGAAGAACTTGTCTGAGCTTCTCCTGAAGCATGAAAAGTCACCTAGTCATTTCAATTCCTACCATATGTGGTTCAAAACAGAGCGAAGGCTTAAACAGGATAATTCACCAACATGAATCTTCAGTGTGTGAGTAACCAAGAGACAGAACACCAAAACGTTATAAAGAGGCTCAAGATAATAATACTTTATCGTTCTTAAAATACTGACTTTTCAAGGTGTATCTGGCAGGCTTTTCACGAACAATGAGAACTTCCTAGGTCTGGTGGAGTTACTAGGAAAGTATGATGAAGTAATGAAGGAATATATTTTCTAGGGAGGTGATGGATCACTACTTTGAAAAAACAATCCAGAATGAGATAATTGAATTATTGGTGAAGGAAGTCCTGCAAGATATTCTTAAAAGGTTAAGAAGTGCTAAGTTCAACTCAGTTATATTGGATTGTACTCCAGATGAGAGCCCTTATGGTAAGATGTCTTTCACTGTTCGGTTCATTGATACTTCAGCTGGAAAAGTGATAATTCAGGAGCACTTTATGGTTTTAAAACAGTGGATGAGTCCACAGAGGAAGGACTGATACAATAATTACTACTCTGAAGGAATGCAACATAAATATATTCAAGACTTCCGGGGCTAAGGTTATGACAACAGTGCAAACATGAAGGAGAAGAACAAAGGTGTACAGGCAAGAATTCTTAATCAAAACCTAGAGCATTTTTTGTTCAATGTGGATGCCACTCGCTCAATCTTGTGGGGGATGCCACATCATCTTCAGCAGAGACCTTCTCCCTCTTTGGCATTCTGCAAAGGATCTACTTTCTGTGCTCTACCTCTGATCATCATTGGAAGATTCTCACATATTAGGTCAATGTCACTATGAAGTCAACATGTGAAACATGCTGGGAGTGCAGAACTGACTGGGTTAAAGCTGTTCTATACCAAACAGCTGAAGTCTATGATGCCCTCGTTACTTTGGCTGAATTAGAGCAAGCAGATACTGTTGCTCATCACCAAGCACTCTCCCTGACATGTGAAACTAAGTGAATTCAAGTTTCTTGTCTCCATTGTGGTGTGGTATGATATCCTTTTTCAAGTCAATGTGGTGAGCAAAAGCATGCAAAATAAGACAAGCTTCAATGTTGCAGCCACAAAATTGATAAATGCTTGACGTGACATATTATAAACTACAGGGAGGTTGGGTATGAAGGAGCTCTGACCACTGCTAAGGAAATAGCTGAAAACCTTGATGTTGATATAGAGTTTAAACTACTTCCACGTGTTCATCGTTAAAGCATAAATTCAGCTATGAATGTGAAGATGAAACAGTTAACAATCCAGAGATCAAGTTTAAAACTGAATTTTTCAACCAGCTTTCAGACACTGACAGCACGTCTGGAAGAACGGCTTAAGCAAATGAATCAACATGTGAAACTTTGGGGATTTTTATATAACAAAGTAACTCCATAATAAAATTTTGATCAAACGCTGTAACAATCTTCATTGTGCACTGACATACGGAGAGAGCTCTGACATTAATGGCAGTGATCTTTGGCTTGCTCCAAAGTCTGCTTCCAATGGACTGTAGTGCTCCTGAAGAAATTCTACAATTTATTTACAATTATCTTCATCACAACTTCCCAAACACCTAGGCTACGTCTACACTGGCGCGTTCTCACGCAAAAACTCTTGCAGAGAAAAACTGTGCTGAACTGATAAAGCATCCTCTAACACAGTGTTTCTCAACTTTTTTTTTAATAAAGTACCCCTTTTAAAAAAAATGTTAAGTACCCCCAGTACCTACAATTTTCAGACACAGAATTTTTTTTCTACCATTACAACATATTTGTTTAAACAACTTAATTGTAGCTGGGTGGGCAATGAAATTTTTTGGGCGTAAAAAATACAAAAATAGTAAAGTGCTGTAAAACTTAAAAATTCAGTTTTCTCCAAATTTCAGTTGTGTTGACATACCCTCCAGATTTGTCTCGAGTACCCCTAAGGGTACTCATACCACTTGTTGAGAAACACTGCTCTAACACATCAGGCCTAGATTACACAACCACCAAGCTAAAAGATGGTTTGAGTGGTGGTGTTGGGATTTTAACTTCAAAGATGTCCCCTCTCCTTGGCCTATTACTGCTCACATATATATTTTTGGTTCATTGGTTTTTTCCATTAAAGAGGGATCAGCTTATTTTGATAAACACAACCCTCGTACTAATGGATTTTTGAGTTCTATTTATTAAGTAAGTAAACAGCTTCTAATGTTAAACTTTTGCAGTAATTACATCATACTATTCAAAAAGGAATATAAAATATACTGTTGTGAGTAGGATACAGTATCCCAATGGCCACGAGAGAGAGAATTCATGCACATAATGCCAACCTTAATGAAAAACATTGGTGGAAAAGTTAACTTGCACAAAGATGGCTTTCATGGCATTTTTTTTTCAGTTTAACTACTCAATACTGCTGCTCCCAAAGTTCTTTTCTCCCAGTGGGGCATAGTGTCATAAACATCAGGATCAGAGACATTTTCTTTATTATATCAAGAATCTGGTGTTATTGTACAGAGCTGGCTCCTCGCTCAGGTACATTTTTGTCCTTAAAGCAAAAGGGAGTGATGCTAGAGAATATCTGCTGCAGCAAGCCAAATGTTTATCCACTTTATTCATCAGGTTTCCTACAGAACCTAAAATGTGGTAAAAATTAAGGAAAATGTTCTCAAAGCCAGGACAAATATCAACATATAAAAAAATCTTCAGTCTCCAGTAATGCACACATTGAACCACATATACAGTCTGTAATAATCTGGAACATTACATTTGAAAGGTGGAAAACTCAGGCTGTCCAAAAAGGAATATATACTGTAAGCTTTCCCTAGTCAGTTTCCAACTCTCCTTATGAGTCAGCCAGGTAATCTTCAGTTATCTCCATTTTTCTGGTGTCAGTGAGCTAGAAGTCTGATTTATACAGGTTCTGAATACCAAGTACTACCTTTCACTTCAATGGGAGGTATGGATGTATTTCACCCCTCAAGCCCCATTCCTAAGTATCTGCTACTTCTCTGAAGGGGTTTAGAAATCCATTCCATGTTTCAAATGTCCCTCCTTTCACTGAAAAGCCAACTATCCCTTTTTCCTGTTGTGTGTCACAAGAACATGCATTTTCTGACTTATTTTCAGTTAGCTCTGTCTCACATGGTAGCTTGTGAATTGATATTAATGTATCCCCTCTTTCCCACAAGTTGGCTTCTCTGTCAATCTAGGCCCCTGTGAACTCCTCAGGTGGATTTACTGGGGATAGGATTAATTCTAAGGGTCATATATTTCCTACTCAGTTTTTCCCAAACCTAGTGAATTTTCTAGCTTTTCCATATGAATCAATGGTGTCTAAGACAACTCAGTTGACTACATTGATTGGGTCTCTTTCATGTGACTTTGCTGATGCTTAGCTAAACTTCTTTTCAGCACAAAACTTTTCCCACACACATTACACTGGAATAGTTTCTCCCCTGAATGCCGGCGTTGGTGATTTAGAAGATAATCCTTTCTGCTGTAGCTTTTGTCACATTTGGTACATTTATAGGGCCTCTCTCCACTGTGAATCATTTGGTGTCTAACGAGCCATGAGTGGCAGAAGAAGCTTTTCTCACATTGGCTGCATTCATAGGGTTTCTCTTTTCCATGCCTCCTTTGGTGTTTTACCAAACTTACCTTCAGTGGGAAATTTTTCCCACACTCAGTGCATATGAACAGTCTCTCCTCTTTGTGGCTTCTGCAGTGATTAGTCAGTTTGGATTTGACAGTGAAGCTTTCCCCACATTCTGTGCATGCATATGGTTGCTTACCCAAGTGTCCGCCACAGTGGTTGCTAAGTTTGTATCTATCCTCAAAGGTTTTCCTGCACTGAGCAGAGGCAAACTGTCTGTCTTCTAAGTGGTTTCCACAGTCAGAGTACTCATATGGTTTCTCGCCCGGGTGGAGTCTCGGATGCATTACAAGAGCAGTATTATCTCTGAAGTTTCTCTCATGCGCAGTGCATTTAAACAGTCTCTCTCCTGTGTGGGCTTGTTGACGGTTCTGAAGATATACCTTTGGAGTATAGTTTCTTTCACATTCAGGGCTTGTATACAGTCTCTCACCTGGGTAGGGTTCTTCCTGATGGATTAATAATTTTTTGTCACACAAAGATGAAACCCCCAGATAGTTCCCAGTAACAGTTGCTGGTTGTGTTTTTGAATTGTAGTGATTCTCCCATGTCACTCTCTCTTTGAGATTCTGCAAACACTTTTCTCCAAGTCTTTCATATAAACTAGACTCATACAAAATGCTTTCATAAGGTTCTCCAGGGAGTTCATCTTTGTTTGTGCTTCCATCTTTCACTGAAATAAACAATCACAAGAAGGTGAAATGAATAATGGAACTACTTCTGATTGCAACCAACCAAATAACTTAATCAGAAAAATGTTTGTGGTCATAATGTTCCTGAAGAACAGATAAGCCGCTAGGACTTTACCAGGGTTCAAAAAAGAGCTGGATGGATTCATGGAGGTTAGGTTCATCAATGGCTGTTAGCCAGGATGGGTAGGAACGGTGTCCCTAGCCTCTGTTTCTCTGGAGGTGGGTGACAGGGGAGGGATCACATGAGTAGGGCTTGACAAACCCCGGCGAGAGCCACTCGCAAGCCCCGCAATGCGCATGTGCCAGACCGGCACTGCGCATGCACGAAGCGTCACATGTGCCAGACCGGCACTGCGCATGCATGAAGCGTCAGTGAATGGGGTGCACGGAGCGACCAACTGAAATCTACTCACCACGGGCGAGTAGATTCAGCAGTTTGTCAAGTCCTGCACATGAGGATTACTTGTTGTGTTCCCTTCCTCTGGGGCATCTAGTATTGGGCACTGTTGGCAGACACTGTGGGCTGGATGGACCATTGGTCTGACCTAGTATGGCTGTTCTTATATTCTTAAGCAACTTAAATACAAATCTAGACTTTATTACTAAGTAGAACCACTTGGAAAATTTCCACTGAAATTAAAAGTTGAATGAAAAACAAAATATTTGTGAAAGCCTCTGTAACCTGCTCTATTAAAAATCACTTATGCAGAGTCATAGATTTGGTTCAACACTTTTACAAACCTATGGCAAGACCTGTTCCCTGATTGTAAGAGTTTAGTCTTAGCACTTGATCAGTAAATACACAAAAGCTCAGGGGGCTGTCCTTCAGAGTACCCAGACCCCTAACCAAGTCAGACTAGAATTAGTGCATGCTCAGCACCTCTGAAAAAAATCTGATTTGTGATGTACAAACTGCTTCTGCATTAACTGTTAATTCCTGAAGAAGGAACATGATTAACCTAAATGTTTACCCAATGAGACCTGACCAGTGCTGAGCATAGCACAACATTAACCTTACCAAGGGCTCTGATCCCAGAACAAATCTTTGTGAAGAGCAACCCACTGTGTACATTCAGAGCTCTGCATCCTGGCTTCTCCATGCTGAGAACTCATTGCAGAACTAGTACCTTACAACAGACTTGATGCTACGGTGAGTACAATCCAACATAGTATGTGATGTTTTTGCTACTGCCATCCTGTGGGCATATTCCTTGTATTCTATAAGGAAAGATTCCTCCCCACATTCACCATATGACATTTAGCTTCAAAGATTCGTGTTTGAAGTTTTTCAGCAGACACGTCCAGTATATCATGATCACTATACTTTGTCTCCTTCCTCAGTCTTTGTGATCCGTCCCCTCTTTGTCTCATCCATGCATTGAATACATTAAGACTCCATTACACTCTCTAGGTAAATGGCATCTCTTTCACATGTACCATAGTAGGACACCACTTATTTTAGTCTCACTTACCTATGTTCCACACAAATTTGGTGTCCCCTCAGTTCTACTGTTGACAATTATTTACATCAGTAATAAAGCCCCATGAAGCTCAGGTCACTGAAAATCATTTACTCTACGGAAATTAATGCCACACAATTAGCAATTTCCTGTGTGAATAATTTGTGTTTTTTTTTTTTCATTTTGGGTCTTTCCCCAATATTTTATCCTGTATTTGGGTCCTGGCAGGTTGAAAGCTGAATTACTGACCTGTGCTGGGATCTGAATGGATTTCATTTTCTTTTGAATCATGCTGCTCACAGACACTCTGCTCTCCCTCTTGTTTAATCCGTGATAAAATATCAGTTGTACAAATTTGAAATCCTGTTCATGGGAAAGAATTACATTACAGAGCATTCATTATAAAAGTTAGGAAAACACGAAGGATCTTGGAACAGTTAGAAAACACAAATGACTTCTGATTGAGGTTGTTGGAAAATCTCATTTGTCATAATGATTAAAAATGTGCAGATTAGGAATGAAGCATGTAATCGAGTTGAGTACTCGACTACTTGCTCCCCCCCTCGCTGCTGCCTCTGTATGAGAGGAAGCAAGGGGGGTGGTAACAGGAGCCGGTTCCCTCCAGAACCCTCTGTATGAGAGGAAGCAAGGGGGGTGGTAACAGGAACCGGTTCCCTCCAGCACAGTCTCTGCGGTGGTGCCTGCCCCCTCCAGGCTCCTCTGCTGCCTCTATGAGGGGAGGCTGCTCCAGCAGCAGCCCCTGTCTGCAGCCAGCCCCAGCCTCTGCAAATAGGGGGTGTGTTGGACCCTGCGTGAGTCGGGACTGAGCAGTCCCGGTTTGCAATGATTCGGGACTGCTGTGTGTCTGCATTTAAATTCAGTAAGAGATGGACGGCTTTTACTACATTTGAATTGCAGAGCTGCAGCAGTCGCGACTCGTGCCAGCTCCAGGAACTACCCCCACTGCAGCTCTGCAGAGTGGCTTACTTGATACAAATTGCATCGACTACACGATAAGCCAAATAACCACTCTTTAACATCCTTAGTGCAGATAAAACATTAGGAAATAAATGATTATAAGAGCTTCCAAAGAGATTGCTGGGTGTCCGACTTTGTGTTACACCATTCAAGTTGTTCTAATCTATTACCCACCTGTGCATGGGTCTATAAGCATCTCTACATTCTCTGAATCTAGTGGTATCCTGACGCATAACTCTTTGCCTTCCTCAGTCTGGGATAAAGTGTCAGACTTTGAAACTGCATGATCTATTCAAGGAGAAAGATGGAGATACAATACTGTGAATGAAAAATCAGCTGCAAAACCTGTTCCCCGCCCCCACTTCAAACCTGGCTTGCTTTGTACATCTCAATTAGATCTTAAAATAGACATACATACCCAAGCTGTGATATACCTCTTTATACTGCATAAATGTAAGGAATTCCAGTTTATTTTGTATCATTATGTATTATTTTTAACAGATCATATGAGGATCATATTTCAAGGCATAACCAAAAGATGGAATTAAGGCTAAAAGTTCAAAATGTTCCATTTATGAAATTTTCTTCCCTGAACTCCAAGATGGTTTAGCTTGTCAGTTTAGATGGGCATTTACTTTGGTCACTGAATGTAAAAACAATTTGTGCAAAAACATAAAGCAATCTGGTTGTGTTGTTATATTAAAATATACTTCCCCTCCTCAAATTTATTATATTTGCTCAAATTTTCCAAAACAAAGCACCTGGCAAAAACATCTAAAATATAGGAATTTGTATCAGAAAGTTATGAGAAACCGGAAAAGAACAGCTTGGGCTCTGGAGCTCAAAACTGACTTCAATGGGCTAGATCAGGTGGGCACCCATGGTCCACAGCGTATGGCCCGGAGACATTTTCCTTATCGTTACCTACGCACAGGGTTGCCAAATTCCATTGGTTTCTGTCCACATAGTTTTTTTCCTACTAGTTTTACTAAAGAGACATGGATGTAAAAGGGCACATGAAGTGAGCTGCATGCTGATTGCACATAACTTTGACTGTGATAGCTGTGCACTCCCTCTGCATCCAGTCAAATTGCTTCTATGGTTTGATCAGTACACCTAGCAAATTCTAAGTACACAAGTGCTATTAGCAAACCTACCGTGTCCCCAGGAGACCCTCTTGGTTACAATGGTCGTGCAGCCCACTGAGATGAAAGAGGGCCACTCATGTGGACCACTCACTAGCCTAAGTTGCCCATCACTGTGCTAGATGTACCCACCATGACTGCATTTCTAATTGTATATAAATGTGTGTATATTCATGCACTATGTGTACAGGAGAAGATGGTAGTGCCACTTATTGTTAAGGTTGCCCAATACCTTCCATCATAAGACTCTGTTTTCAGTTGCTTATACATTTTGCCAAAAAGGATATATTGGAATTGGAAAAGGTTCAGAAAAGGGCAACATAAATGATATGGGGCATTATTAGAAGATTTACCTGGTGTTACTAACATCCGTCAGGGCAGTGGGCTAGAGGGATGGGGTGCAAGAGTCAGGGCAGGGTCTTGGGGATGTGGAGGGCTCAGGGCAGAGGGTGGGGGTTGCAGATGTCAGGGTTGGCACAGCCCACCCGCCGACTCTCCGCGGGGACTGGCCAGGTTGCTTGCTACCCCACTGTCCTCAGTGCTTGCTGGTCATTCACATCAGAGCCCCTACTTTCTGACTGATGAAAAACAATCACATTCTAAGCACATCTCATTGTCCTAGCACAACCAACCCTGACTTTGCTTTACTTTATGATAACAGGAAGCTGCATATCGAATTTAGTCGTTCTTACTCTTACTGTTTAGGAGGAGTTCTTGAACAAATAAACAGATTTGCAAACAGATGGACGGACAGACAGACACACAAACTTTCTCAAATATATAGTATAGTAGATAAAAAAATGTAACACATACATATATTCTCTCAGTACATACCCAACTACAAGCACAAAAATCTTCCCAGATTCAGGTGCTTCCTGGCACCATCTGCCTGAAAAGATTGATCACATAAGACCTGGATCCAAAAGCCTTATTTAGGAAAAAAATCACGTAATCTCCTTAGCAATTCATGCCCATCTTGGCTGAAAGGCATTCCTATATCTACTAACTTCTGCATAGGAAAGAGGCAGTCACCAATCCTGTATTCTCAGAAAATGGATGGAAGACTAGAAAGAAAAAATGCCCGAAATTATTCAGGATTAGTAGAAAGTCTGATTAACGTCTGCCGTGGAGCTATAAACATATGTTAGCAGTAGATTTGAAACATACAGAAAAAGATAAAAGAACTCACAAAGTTTATTAATCTTTCAATTTCACTCTCCATTTGAATTACTTTAACTCACCAGTACAGAGTTCTTTAGGGACTGTTCTGCCCTCTAGATCCTGCTGATCCCCAATATGCAACTCTGCCTCTTGTTTAGTAAATAATAAATCCTCTTCTGTACAAACGGGAGACTCTGTCCATGGGAGCAAAAATTTACGTTTTTCTAACATATACCATATGGTTAGAAAAGAGTTCATGAGGGATTAGTTAGAGTTAAAAAAGATCTCAGTGGTGGTTGTCAAGAGAAGTAAGAAAAGAGGCAGAAGGCTGATTTACCATTGTGTTATTCCAGTGTTACCCCTATATAACACCACTAATGGTTCAGACCAATGTTTTGTGTGCACAAAATGTTACACTGGAGTTACATTTGCACAAATAAGGAAATAAATATTGGCATGGCATTTCAGTTTTACGAAAAGTGTGAATACCAGAAATTCAAAGATAAAGCTATAATTAAAAACCACACAGATTTTGAAATATACAGGCAGTCCCCGGGTTACGTACAAGATAGGGACTGTAGGTTTGTTCTTAAGTTGAATTTGTATGTAAGTCGGAACTGGCGTCCAGATTCAGCCGCTGCTGAAACTGACCAGTGGCTGACTACAGGAAGCCCGAGGCAGAATTGCTCTGCCCTGGGCTTCCTGGAATCAGCCACTGATCAGTTTCAACAG